TAATGCTTGTATAACTTGAGTCTCTACAAAAGTCAAGCAGAGTTCAACAAAGTTCTCTTCAACCAGTGACCCAAGGGGCTCCTCCTAGACAGAACAAAATTTTCCATTGAAAATAAAATATGATGAATAAACTACTGTGTGAAAAAATGGGGTATATTTTTGCCCTACTGGATCTTCAAGGCATTATAGAGCAATCTTATTATTAATGCATAAATTGCCTCTAGTTTTAAGGATGGGAACAAGTTTTTGTAGTTTGTCACTGTAAACATCTTACAGTTTGAGGGGTCAAAGTTCCTCTATCCTCTCTACTACCATTTATGGGTCATGAACCACATAAGGGTTCTTGGATAAGTGAATCTTGATAAGTATAGCCAACCTTTCTTCCATTGAAAACATAGGAGAGTATCATTTTTCAACCACGGGTTGAACCAGCCATATGGGTTTATGGGTCTTTGGAAACTCACATACTCTGGCATCAAGTTATTTAGTGGTTAGTAGAATGAAAATTCTGGTTGAAGGTTTTTTGTTTTGTATTGCTTTGACTCTTCTAAACACCTTTAAACTATCCTCAGGTAATTTTACAGCTCCTTACTGTTTTATGGTGTAACTACAGTTTTTCAAGGTATTTCTCACATGATAACTGCTGGGATTTTACCTTTATTTATAACAAATGTTTTAAAGGAAATCTGAATTTTCTTTAAAACATTTATCCTAAACTTTAAACAGTAGGATTCAAAAATGACATCTTTAGAATGCTGGTTAGAACTCTGTTTTAATTCTATAAGATATCAAATTAGATATTGATGATGCGATATCTGAAAGACATTTTTATCTAAATCTTTATTAAAACTAGATTGCGTTGATGATAATAGCATTTTGTTTATATTTAAATAGAAAAATATTTACTAAAAAAGTAATTTGTAAGGAAAATTTGAATAACACTGGTCTAAATGAAACCATTTTATATATATTTGACTCTTCTTCTCAGTGTGAAATGAGTAATCTACCCAGTTACATTATTTATTGCTATTAGTCTTTAATTAATTCAGCTGAATATGTTTTAAAATTTGTTAGAATAAGTGTGATAATAACATTGTGAAATGGTCATTGTTTATTGTAATATGAGCACAGATGAAATAAAACATCATCATTAATAATTTGTTAATTTTCACAATTACTGTATAATGTCAAGTCTGTACTAGAATAGATAAAAATGTTCATCTTAATACTTTCTAGATTCTTCATTATAATTTCATATCTCAGTTCTTCAAAGTGTATTTTTCCTTTGCTAAATTGCATGTGTGACTTATAAATTGAGAAAGAAATTAATATATTTTTAATGATAAAACAGACTATCAAGCTATTAAAATAAATACAAAACACAGTTATAAAATTGTTTAACAAATACAGTGGTACCTCAGGATACAAAATTAATCCGTTCCGAAACTGAGATCGTATCATGAAAATGTCGTAAGATGAATCATTTTTTCCCATACGATTACATGTAAAACCAAATAATTCGTTCCAACACGAAAAATACACTCAAATTAAAGCTAAGTAGTACATTATAAATAAATAAATAAATAAATAAATAACTATAGTAAGGAAAACACTGAGAAATGCATTTTGTAGTTGTAAATGTATAAATAGCCATAATATCAATAGAATAATAATTGATTAAAAAAAATGTAGTTTTATTTGCACTTTATCTTTGAGGATAGACAACGGTGGAGGTGTAAACTGGTGGCAGAAGAGGGGGAAAAGGGAAATAATACTACAACTTAACTTACATAACATAATGTAACAATAACTTTAAAAAATTAGTGTTAAGTTATTTTTATCTTTTCTGTTTTTTATATATATATATACATATTTTTAATTTTTTATTCTCTGCTTTTTGCTTTCTTTCCTTCACTTCCACCAGCACTTTCACTGGATAAATGTCGCTTGGTAAAATATCTATCCAAATAGGAACATTTAGAAACATTTTAAAAGTAGGCTTTGCCTACTTTTTAAAATGTTTCTAAAATGACTTAGGCAAATGTCATTACTCTGAGCAGCAATACGGCCAATGTGAACCTTTTCAGGATGTTTCTTTTCAATAAAATCACTTTCTGATAATACCTCAAGATTTCCTTTATTGAGCGAGATCCTTCCACGACAAAGCAAACACGTGGAATGAGACCGATGAACAGAAGTAAATAAAAAATGGCACTGCAAATTAATGTAACGTTGTATGGTGAGGTTTTGTTTGTATTGTGGAGCAAAAATATGTTTGAATTTCATGTCATATCCTGAAAATTTTGTATGCTGGGGCGTTCGTATCCTGAGGTACCACTGTAACTAATTTCTTAAATATTCTAAACCGTTAAAAATTTATAACTTGTATTGAAAATACAATTTCTTGTGTGTTTTATAGTGAGAAAAATGAGGCAAATTTGCCTTCAATAAGGAAATAATGGTTTAAGAAAGATTAATTATTGAGAAATATTTAAAGGAAAGTGTTTATATTTAAATATGTATTCTTTATGCAGTGCTTCTCACCTTGTTAGTGGAACATTAATAACAATAACAAGTTGAGCCAAATTAAAGTCAGTGTCAAATTAAAAATGCTGTTATAAATGAAAAGTGACACTAAAGAGTAACATTTTTTTATATAAATAAAAAAATATTGAAAGTAGAGAAACAATTGATATTTGTTGAAATTTTGTAGTACTCCTATGAGAAGTTTGTTTTACATTGGTTGAGAATCACTGTTTAAATGAGAGTTATGAGACAGAAGTTGGATTATAGATATTGTAGACATGTTTAAGGAAGCAGAGAGACCTTTATTCTTTCTTAACCAAAAATTAAAATCAAGACATAACAAAAACACCTTTTATTTGTATTTTTGTAAGAATGTGTTTATAAGTTGTTTTAGATGATTTATTCACCAAGATAAAATTTATGTACAGTACAAACCTTTATCCTATGCTTCCTTAGACAATATCTGTATATACAGTGGAATCCACTTATTAAGCTGCAATTTTCAAAAATTGCAGACTTCTAAATTTCCATTTTCATTCATCCATTTGTCTGTCTTTCCTTAATCTGGAAGTCACATTATTTCAATTCAAAAATTTTTTCCTGACCAGAGTTAGATAGATGACTGGCATGACTCTATTGTTAACAGGAAAAGTATGATGTACAGGAGCAAGACACTTAAAATTGAGTGCATTGTGACAAAAAAAATTGCAGCTTGGCATTGTGACAATGTCACAATAAATAATAGCTTTTTATGATTATTTTAGGATTTGCAACTTTTGATGATATTACAAACTCCATTTATTACAAACAACTACAGTATGAATGTGAACAATTTATATTTATCACAGACTGTACACTTGATAAAACTATATGCTATTTTTCTTATGAACAACTTATTAACTCAACAGATCACAAAATTAAACTAGAGAAATTGCAAGAGGAATGTTCATTCCCAAAGATATGCTTCAAGTAAAGACTTAGGGTGCGACTATGCAGATGCAAGCAAGCAAGTCTATACAACGAAAAGAGGCAAGACGTGATAAATATCAAACCCTATCAGATATGTATAAGAAATTTGCTCTTGCCAGTGATATTTCTTACTTTTTGCTTGTGCACAGTTTTCTTTTGCAAGAACTATATCACTTGCAATGCTCACTACTAAATTCATGTCTGCATAGTTGCACCCTTACAATACATGTATTTTCTAAGAATTCTTGTCATGCTTTTACAGTATTTAAAAGATAAAAGGTATGCTTCAGTTAAAAGTAAGTTTCAAAGAAAAGGTTCATTTAGTATGAATTTTCTAAGAATTCTTATCATTTGTTCCCAAGTGTAATTATCACAATTGATAACAATAGACAGAGTTTGATTATAATGGATTATTTTTAACTAATTTATATATAGAATTTTTTGGGATATATTGACTATGATAACAATAGCTGATTGATAAGATTATCTCTGATTGTAATAACTAGATACTACTGTATTACTGATAAATAATATCTGGAGACAAAAATCTGTTTTAAAAATTTAAAATTAACATTAAAAAATAGTTATATTTAATTCTTTCATGAAAATCTAGGAAATGTTATGTTTATTTTGTAATTTGTAAGTTAGACTTATGATTGACTTAGAGTAAATTACAATTTTTATATTTAAATTCTGTCATTTCTAAAAATATTAATTTAGATTTGGTTGTCTGATTTAGAAACATCATAATAATTTATAAATTGATATTTTCAAAGCAATTGAAATAAACTAAACTTGCATTTTTATAAAATATATATAGTAAACTGTTGATGGATATTAGGCCTAGTAATTCATTGTTTTTGATTAATAAGGATGGATTTCTACTATATATCTTCTAGCTCAATTCAACTTATGCAAGACCATAAGCTTCCTTCTCCTTGAGATTTTTGTGGTTCTTCTTAAACAGTTCATTCTCAACCTATATGCTTAAGATTTTCTAATGCTATCTTAAACAAATATTTTTATTATCAATTTGAAACATTGGGTTCCCAAAGGACTGCAGTAACCTCATATATGAGAAATGCTTAAGAATTACAAGAGTCATTAGCAGGAAGAAGTTTGTGGTCTTGCATAAATTAGTAATCCATTAATTAATCTCTGTGTTTAATTATGTGTAAGTTGAATTAATTCATATATTGATTTAGGAATTATATTATTTTACGAAAGATATGTAAAAAAAAGCAACATTTTTTAAAATAGGCAAAACCAGTACATATTATTAGCAGAATTTTAAATGTATCAATTATAATTAAAAATGTATTGCATTTCTTAGCATTACTTCACTATCATTTATTTTATAGTCAAGTTTTTCAAGTAATAAAATTTAAATTGAATCTAATTTATTAGGACTGTGTAAGATTATTTATTCAGTATAGGTAAATCTTATTTTAATGTTTTTTGTAGGATATTTATTATTTATTGTAATGCTATTTATTTGATTCTAGATTATACCAAACTCTTTTGTACAGGTTCCTTGAAAACTCTTGATAACAGGTAAGAAAAACTTAAGATATTTGTTAATTGAACATTACGGATATATTATGTATTAAAAAAATAAATATGGACAATAAATGCTACTGTACTCAAAACTGTAATCAAAAAGTATTAGGAATAATTCATTTAATCTGCATGCATGCAAGAGGGTACTGTTATAATTTTTTTCATTGTTTGGTAGAATGTTCATCAACATTAGCAACAATTTGTATGTCATAATCTGTTTTTATTTGCAAATAAATGCTTGTTTTGTGTGTAAAGAATTTTTGTCCTGGCAATTTTTCAAAATATTGAGTGTAATTGAGCAAAGAATATGCATTAAATTTTGTTTGCACAATGAATTATTGCTACAAAAACATTGAAAATGTTACAAAAAAGCAGCAGTAGTAGAAAGAGCACTAGTAGAGCATTAGTAGAAAGAGCATATACGCATTCTTCCACCTCCCAAGCCTTCCAACGAGAATTAAATTACATTAGGAAGATCGCTAAAGAGCACAGTTACAGCAATATAAAAGGATTGTGTAAGCAGCATCGGCGTTTGCAGAATCTTATAGAAGAAAAGGTAGAGATACTAAATAATGGAAATGAGGATAGCATAGAGAGGGTACCAATAACATATAACCCGCATCTAAAGGCAATGTATGAAAAAATTGCAAAAATAAAGGGAATTAAGATTGCATACAAAAGAAACCCAATCATTTACAGTTTATTAAGGAACGGGAAGGACAATTCTGACCCAAACAGGCTTCCAGGGATATACAGTATTCCATTAAAAGATAACAGATGGGATAGGCCTTTAGTGTATATTGGATCCACCAAACATTCATTGGCCACAAGATTAAAAGAGCATAAATCAGACATCGAACATAATAAATGTATGACGGCGCTATCTACGTATGCAACAAACCCGGGCATCACACCTATCTTCGATGAAGCGCATGTTATTTGCATCACCCAACACCAGGGGCAACTAAGAACTTTGGAGGCAGTGGAAATCTTTAAAGCCGATCGCAAATCCACATGCATTAATTTCAAAGAAATAAATCTCTCTGCAGCATGGCAATTTTTAATTAATGATAAATTTTATGAGGTATTGCACACAACGAATCCCCATTGGTAGAAAATTATATTTGAAATAACACGTGGATTCCTTCCACTTTCGGAAATTTTTTCGAAAAATGGCACGTTCCATATTTTTTAAAAAACATTTGAATTAAAGAATCCAGTTATAATGAAAGGTATAAAAAGTAAGCCTGAAGAAGATCCCAAGAGGGGAATCGAAAACGTTTGCCGATTTTTAAGAATTTCGTGCCAGTTACTGGTTAATTGTAGATAGTTGTTTATTTGAAGTATATACAACCTGGTATGGTGAGAAAGTACATTACAAAAAAGCCTTTGGTGATTATAGTTTATCATAAACAAGGGTTTTTGAGTGGTACAGGATGTTCAAGGAGGCAGAGAATGTGTCAAAGATAAACCGTGCTCTGGTAGACCATCCACTTTAACTGATGAACAACATATCACTCAAGTCAGTGATTGTCATTTAGCAATTTCGAACATCATTGAACATGTGCTAATATTATTTGAATCTTGTCAAGCAATTTTAAAAGATTATTTGGGCTTGCAGTGCATTGCTTCTGAAGTCATCCTGAAAATGTCAAATTTTTTCCAAAAACAACGTGTTCAAGTGGCCAAGAAAATGTTTTCTTGAGGCAAATATTTTTTAAAACCATCATTACAAATGATGAAATATGGATCTAGGCTTTTGTCACTGAAACAGCTCAACAATCAAGTGAATAGTATTTGAAAGATAAAGCAAGACCAAAAAGACAATATCAAAGTTAGTCAAAAATCAAGATTATGTTGACTGATTTCTTTGAATGTAATGGTGTTGTGCATTATGAATTTCTCACTAGTCAAATTGTCAACTAAGAATATTAATTGAGCATTTTGCATAGTTTGTGTGAAGCAATTCGTAGAAAATTATCTGATTTGTGGTGAGAGAAATGCACCACAATAATGCACCAGCTCACAATGCTCTTGTTGATTTGTGAATTTTTGGCCAAACATTTAACAAATATGGTTCTGCAAGCTCCATATTTACTTGATATGGCACTGTGTGACTTTTTCTTGTTTCTTTGACTGAAGTTTGTACTTTATGGTCACCATTTTGAGTTGACTGATGCCATGAAACAAAATTTGCTGCAAGTTCTGAAGGGGTTTTATAAAAACAAATTTAAAGCATGTTTTGAGAATTGGAAAAATATTGCTATAAGTGCATTGCAGTGGGAAGGGATTACTTTGAAGGAAACAAAATAAATTTTGATGAATAAATTCAAATTTTATGTTTTATTGAACTATTTCTGATACTTTTTGATCATAGGAGTATATTGAAAATCTATTAAGAAAATAGAGCTTGGATTCATGATTTAAATGCATAGAAAAGAATACACCAAACACACTAAACTGTATTTTTATGATGAAACAAATGATATTACAAATGAAGACAAACATAAAATAACTGGTAATTCAAACACAAATCAATTATTGTATTTATTCAGACACTTGGCAAATCTCATCATTAAATTTTATTCAGTTGAACACATATCAACTGACTATCTCTCTCCTTCTCAGCAATATTAATTATAATATATGAACACTGACTTCTACTTGCCAAGTTTTTTCTCTTTATTCAAACATTTTCAGCCTATTTGGATAGGCCATCCTCAGGTTTTCCTTTATCATTCGAAAATGGAACCATTCGTTCAAACTTTATTTTGATTTGAATTTTTGAAATAAGTTAACAACTTTTTGTATATTACAGTAGATCCCCTATAAGACGGGTTCTTATAATTATGATTCCTATAAGACGGCGAAAAAATTGTGGCGGTATCTGTAAACAACAGTAAAAAACTCCTATAATTACATAAAACGTCATCGGGCAGCCAAACTACTTTTCGCCGTCCGGCGCCACGCTACGGACAGTTTAGGCATGTAAATTGAGTTTAGTATCGTCTGTACATATAATTATATATAAATTATATATAAATTAGGTAGTATATATATAATTATATATTAACTTAATTTATTGTAACTTTATTATAATTATATATATACTTTCCGCCGTCTAGCGCCACGCTACAGACAGTTTAGGCTAGTAAGTTGAGTTTGTTATCGTCTGTACAGTATGTAAATTAGGTACCATAAGTTTAATACAGCACTGTAATTTTATACATTTCTTATTCAACGGCGATTAAAATTATTTATATTAATGATTCCAAAGTTCAACGAAGTTTTCGCAGAAAAATAACATCAGAAATTGTGGCCGCGATTTGCTGTGCTGTTCCGCGACGAAAACAAGCTTGAGCAACGGCGATGTCGAATGGTTTAAAAATTGTAGGATTACTCAGTAAGTAATCCTACAATTTTTTGTTTATAGCATAGTTTATACGGATTATTTCCAAAAAAAAAAATATATACGTATTTTGGAAATGTTGAGTCGGATTAGTCTAGAATCGATTAATTTTATGGAAGAAAACCTTTCAAACATCTGTAGTCCGTAAACTTCACACGTGTTGGGCTGTGATTCATAAAGAACGGAACGTATCTACCGTCTTATAGGGGGATCGGCTGTACATAAGTAAACAAAATAAATAAAATAAAATATGTCACTACATGCGCTACACATTATCAAAAAATTAAATAAATGTTTACATGTATCTAAATTATAATATAATAATTTCTTATAACCTCCAGTTTCTATTTTATGGATTATTGAAACCCATACATTTTTCTATTTTGTATTTCCATGCTGTTGGTAATGTATTTGCATCCTTTTCATTTAAACAGCGATTTCTCATTTTACTTTTGTACACCTCTATTTTTTACATTTCCATCACGATAGACGGTGAGTGCATCGTTCTTATAATCTTCACCTCATCCCATTTAACTATTGCTCCATCCGCCTGTGCCATGCTTGCCAATATCGTGCTATTGAGTCCTTTATTCACATTGTATTTGTGCTCTTTTATACACACTGCAAGGTTTCTTCTGGTCACCCCTACATATTCTTTATTGACTCCTATTTGTTGGTTTTCATATGGGATAGTGTATACCCCTCTTGCTCTTCCATTCTTATTTTATCATTATCGTTCCTTAATAATCTATATATGTTGGGTGCTCGTTTGTAAATTATCTTTGTGTTTTTGTATTTTCATAGCTCATCACTCCTTTTCTTGTTTGTTCATTGTATGTGAACTTGTTGAATGCAGTTGTGTTTTTATGTGCTGTAGTTGCAGTTTTTTGTTTCCCATAATTTCTGATAAGGCCTTTGATTGTGGACGTTTTGTATCCCAAACTTCTTGCTACCTTTTGTATTCTATCCATTTCCTTGTTACAGTCTTGCACATTGGTGCAGTACAAGAAGGCCCTCTTGATAAGTGCCTTAAATGCAGACAGTTTATATCTATAAGGATCTTACGACCATAAAGGTATGTATAACGGAGCATGTAACAGTTTTAAATATACTGCTGTTCGTATTTTTCCTAGTTTAAATTCCATGTCAATGTCCAAAAAATGGAGGTTTTTTTGGCTTTTTTATTCCAATTTTAGTTTCAAACCATGGTCATTGTTGTTAATTGCAGTTAGGAAATCATTAATCCGTTGGTTGTCTTTCCAAATTATCAATACATCATCCATGTACCGTTTGTATAATAATATGCTTTTGGAAAAATTTTTGAGGATGTTCTTTTCCAATTTTCTTATTACTAGTTCACATAGGAGTCCTGATATAGGACTTCCCATTGGGACCCCTTTCTTTTGTTTGTATACTATTCCATTGAATTTAAAAAAACTCTGAAAACAAACTAGGTTTGCCAAATCCTGTAGGTTTTCCAAGTATGCCTCTACCTCTTGATTTTGTTGTACCATGGATTCAATTAATTCGTTGTAGCTAGAGGATAGATTTATAGAGGAGTACAGACTTTCGAAATTTATCACCG